ACAGAAAAGAAAGAAAATATAAAAAAAATATAAAAGGGCAGGCGCGTGGGCAACATGTAGTTAAAGGCTGAGGTGAACTTATAAGAACGCCAGATTGCTCCTTTATTTAAAACTATCGTTGTGTCTGTTCTAAACACGTGTGTTTGAAATGGGCCGTTTGCTTGGCCTGTGGTGTTGCTGGTTGCAGCTTTTTGTCTGAAAGTGTGAACGTAACCTGCAGTAAAAGTGAAGAGCAACTGCAGGGTGTAGTCTGCACAACCCTGAAGACTCTGCTGCTGCACAAAGACTTGAACTGGAGAGTCAGTTGTTGTTTAGAGCATGCTTGTCATTGTGATCACTAATCTCACTTACATTGATGAGTTCCATCCGCTGCTGCTACAGAGCGCTGGTTGTCTGTTTATTCAAAGTTTATCAATATTTGTCCAAATCACACCAAATTCAACACTGTGTCTGTTTCCTTGTAGTTGCTGTCATCATAATCAAGCATGTCAGTAATTGTGTTTGGTATGAATGTGTTTTATTATAAAATCATTGAGTTTACGAAATCAAAATCAGATGTGTACATTTGTATTGATTCCAACACACCAGCACAACCTCTGCTGAACAGTATTCAGTTGCTAAACAGCCCTTAGGAGCCAGGGGCCTGCTTAACTGTGTTCAGGGGTTCCCACCTCTACTTCCTCAGTAATAGTCTGGGTGTGTAACGGTTTGCCACCGCGTGCAAACGCCCCCGCCCCATCACTACCTGTCCCCAGCTCTGCTCAGCACTGCTCGGCAGCAGGCGATAAAGAAAGGCCCATAAATATGATGGAGAGGGAGGTCAACCCTCAGCCCGATGACAGTGGCCAGACATTAGTGCATTGCTGCTCCCCCGTCTGCCTCTGCGCGCCGAGAATATGAGGCACCGTCCTCCAAGCAGCTCTACAGGAAATGAAATGTGGAATGAAATGTCCAGATGCTAGAGGCGGGCTGCATCTTTAGTTCATCTTTTGTTCAAAACAGATCCGAGAGGAGATTGTTGGAGAGGCTCTTCTCCCTTAGCTGTTGTGCCAGCATGTCTTTGATCATATCAACAGAAAGTGGCTGTGTTAGGAGAGAAAAAACTTCTGTATTTATTTTTTTATTTTCAGATTGTACAGATGATGTTACAGTCAGCTGTGTTGTCATATCTTGACAGTTTTGTTTAATTGTTATCTTGCCTTATTATGCATGAGTATCTTACTCAGCTTTTTCATCTCCAGTTTCTCCTGAATACCAACTGGTTTAGTTTTAATCTCTTCATATTCATCTTCTTCTTGATCTCCCGGTGTCAATATGCTGCTTCTGTTCTATCTCACCTACCCAGCCTACAATTGTTCCTCTTTATTTCTTCCATAAATCCATCTGCTCTGCATTTTCCACATGATTACCTCTCCAATGCTAATCGGCATACCTGCATCCCTCTTACTTTTTCTGCCTTCTCCAGCTAAAGCAGAGGGAGACGTCCCTCCGTCGCCAGCATCCTCCCACCACAGCAGCACCCAGGCGCCCAGCCTAACAGAGGAGATCGGCAAGCGCACCCCACAGGGCAGCCAGAACTCCCTCAACACCGTCAGCTCCGGCAGCGGCTCCACCTCTGGCATCGGCAGCGGGGGAGGGGGTGGAGGGGCAGGGGGCAGCGGCAACACCGTCGTCTCGGCCGTGGCTGCCACCACCTCCTCCCAGCCCCTCAATGTCAACTCCACTTCCGCCCCCTCCTCCACCATGCAGCCATACGACGTGGAGATCCACCGCGGCGAGAACGAAGGATTCGGCTTTGTCATCGTCTCGTCCGTGTCGCGGCCCGAAGCTGGCACCACATTTGGTAAGAGATTGTACATACATACATGTCTTTACAAAACTCAGTTTCACATGACATAACATGAAACACACTCTTTGGCTTTTCCTAATCACTGGAGGCTTGTATCTCAGAGATATCTTCTATCTCATGTGCTGCCTTTTAATCATCTGTAAAACCACTGAACACGAAATAGCCTGAGAAGCCCCACAGATTCTTTCTTGCTGTTTACAGTCCAACCAGATCGATATCAATCCTCTTGAAAGAAGTGCTTCGTCTTTCTCATTTTCATCTGGGCCTGTCAAACCAAGACACCAGAACCTTTTCTTTCGCTTGCTGCTACACTCACACAAGGCCTTTGTAATTGATCACAAGTGAAGTGGGTCTTACATAAGGCACTTGTATTATTCAGCTGAACTTAAATGGATTCTGCTGAGGAGGTTAGCGCTGAAAGACTAATGACAACTTGATGAGAATGAGAGCTACATGAAGGATAAATGGGGGAAATGATCGACGTGAACTATATTTATTTATTTTACGGTGTACGATCAAAGAGATGCAATCACTCCAAATTACTATTTATGAATTTATTTATGAATTTATTTAGCTGTAAATACCACATGGGTTTTTTAACCTTACAGTGGCTCTGCTGTTTGATATCACACATCCCTGCAAATAAATTCTGTCCAAATTGACTCTTCTTTGCTTTTACAAACTAATAATGTCTTTTCTGCGATGCACTCTTCCCCAACTGTCGTGGCTTCCTGCCCACACCACCGTGGCATTCCACTGTTCTCCGTGCTCTCATCTCTGTCAGTGTGGGTGGACTGAAAAAAACTGAAATGCTCATCTTCTCACTAAACGGGCAAAGCTCAGAGTAGAATGAACGGGCAGGCAGTTGAAACTCTGTTTGATTTGACCCAACATAAAAATCCGTAAAAATCTAATGGAAAGTCATTGGCAGCACAAACAAACCAAATCTGTTGTGTACCACGTCAGAAACTAGTCTACCACATTTGGTTTTCAGAGAAGCTATTTTTTTGTTAAAAAATGTAACACCTTATTTCTTTTCTCTCCATCTCTCTATGTGTGATTCCACACTTTATATTTTTATAGTTCAGAATGGATGGATTCAGTTAAAGTGGCAGGAAGAGCTCAGGGTTAGACAAGTATGTAGAGGTGCAAAAGAGAGTGAGAACAGAGGCAGTGGAAGAATGAATGACAATGAAAAGTGAGAAGAGGAAAGAAAGGAGTGATTGCATGCTCGCTCTCTGCAGTGACTGATTCAAAGAGAGAGAGAGAGAGAGAGAGAGAAGGGGTTGGGTTGCTCAGAGACCTCGGGGGGAGTTTAAGCTTAGGTAGTCAGATCTATATGTTTGCCGTCTCCAACCTTCTGCAGGTGCAGGCATTGGAGATGTAGACAACACATTTCATACAAATATTCTAATGATACCAGTTTTAGAAATGTGATGCTGCCACAGATCTAAGTGAACCAGAAGAATAGACACATGAATGTTGCTTTGAGCTCAGGTTCCCCAGTGCTTTGAAAAACCAATTTACAGGAAAAGTACGGAGAATTACAGTTTGACAGATTCTTTGTGGAGCTTGTTGAAATTTGCCCTTCTCCTTTTGCCAACGCTTGCATTTTGTTCCTCCCGTAATTCTGATCAGCTTCTCTCTGCGACTTTTGCTCGGCTGGCTGTTGAATTAACACAGAACTTTCTGATCCTCTTTCTCTGCTCCGTTCCCCCCTTTATCCCTTCCTTTTCCTTCTGTCCACTCACAATCCAACAACACTTCACACTGAAACACGCATCACATGTCAATGGTGACCGTAGCTGGCAATGCATGTGTTGCCATGCCCCACAAAATAGGGCGCATCATCGAGGGGAGCCCGGCAGACCGCTGCGGGAAGCTGAAGGTTGGCGACCGCATCCTGGCCGTGAACGGATGCTCCATCACCAATAAGTCGCATTCTGACATTGTCAACCTCATCAAGGAGGCCGGGAACACCGTCACGCTACGCATCATTCCTGGAGACGGTGAGTAGACGGTTTAAGTCAGCCTCCCAAATTAAGCTCCGCTATTAAATGTGATTTTTTTTTTTTTKTCTCATCATCATTTATATTCCCATGATACACTGCTGCAAAAATGGGGGCACCCTCAAGGACCCTCAGAGGTGCCTTCAAGGGTGGGGAAGGAATCTTGCTAACTGGCACATTCTGATATTAACTCATTCAGCTGGTAGCCTTCAGCCAAAAACTCACATTCAGTAAGAGCTTGTTCCTCAAAACTGTTGAACTAGGACTACAGATTTTGCAAGTGTCTCTGGCTCCATGTCATAATGCTGGATGTCAAACAGTACAGTCATCAGTTATTATTAGTGTTGTTACAGAGACTGAGTGTATTTGAGGAGCAGGACTTGCGTTGTTCCCCTCATCGGTGGTGCTTATGCATGCCTGTAGTGTTACATAAAGCTCGGAGTTTCTTCACTTGCTTTCAAAGAGACTGAATCGCCCCCGCAGTGTTGACAGTGCTCTTCATCAGTAGGGATATTTGGGAACTTTCCCAGCCTTTGCATTTCTGCCCTCAGCGTGCCTGCACTTTTAAAACATGCAAGAGTAATGTAGCTGTTATGGTATTCTGTGTGTGTGTGGGGGGGGTGTGGTCCAGGTATTACTCATGTTGTGGAGACCTAAATCTGTTTACACAATCACATAACAGGGACTTACGATGACAAAAAAGTCCCCATAATTTAAATCATTCAACTTACAGGTGAAGACCTGTCTTTAGCCTTAGGTTAGGCTCAGGTTTATGTTAGGTTAAGGTTTAGGTAATGTTCAAATTCAGGTTAGCTTAAGGATAGGTTAAGATTAAGTCTAGGAAATGGGTTAGATTAAGGTTAGGACAAGGTTATGTTTAGGTTAGGTTATGGTTAGGCTTGGGTTTAGTTTGAGGTTAGGTTAAGTTTCGATTTAGGGCAAGGTTTGGGTGAGGAGAGAAAGTCAGAACCTCTTCTGTATATGATGTTGTGTCTTTTTTTAGCCAAAGTTTTTAAAGGAGGTTTGTGCACATTGTGTTGTGCAGCTGAGAGTTCTCTCCACTTTGTCCTGACAGATCAAACTGGTGTGCTTCACAAATACTGTTTAATTAAATGTGTGGGTCTGTGTGTACAAGTGTGTGTGTGTATATGTGCGTGAGGAAGGCGATACTCCCTGTCAACCTACACACTAGAAACTGTATCTATTTGTCCGCGGTTCGTTTCTTTCCGGATCACTTCTTATAGATGAAAAGTGTGGGGGGGTTTTTTGTCTTGCTGCAGAGCGGTTGATGAGAACGGGGAGAAAAAATTGCTCTGCCAAGAAGAAACACAGGGAGAGAAATAACGGCATGTGCCTTATCTGAATCTTCCGGTCTGTGTTTACGTGCATGTGTCAAACAAAGCGACGCCGCCTCACACGCAGGCCGAGAGAGAGTGACGGGGAAAGATTGTGGCTTGCGTTGTTGAGTTGTGTCTCTGAGTGACTTTTTCTCGTCGCCTGTGTTTACACATGGCTGAGCAGGACTATTTTTGTGTGGATCAATCCTGTCTAAACTTTCTGACGTGAATTATACAATCGCATGAAGTTTTTCCAAGGTGAGGCCAGGTTCAGCTTCTTTCCACTGAGCTCCCTGCTCCCCTGTGTGTGAACACAGAAAACAGGCATGACACTTCCCAATGCACACACACACACCTTCATTAAAGCTTATGCCTCTGCTGCATAGACTCTCTCTTGTGTGAGAGAGGGCAGATAGACGCGCCTGTGCTGATACGATGTTCCATTTTTTAGCACAACCTGGGCTATTCTGTGCTGCACAATCATCCAACTTCATTTATCTCCTCTCCCTTTCTTTCCCTCTCCACTCCTTTTTCTCAAAATCTAATTTTGACTGTACCTTTTCTCCATCCTTCCTCTTGTCCGTTCAGGGCAGTGGACATAAAACGAAGGCCAGAGACAAATTACAGAAACAGTTCAGTGCTTCTCCTGCACGTCGTAAATGTTTTCAAGGGAACCAGGAGAAAAGAGGCAGCGGCCTGTGAGCAAAGCGGAAAGATAGAGAGAAACAAAAGCTTTTTCGATTAATTTCCAGACAGAAAACAGTTGCAGAAGAGCATAATGGAGAGAGGAAGCCGGATGAGAGGGTTTTGCCAATGAGCAGATGGAGGGGCGAATAGGGTTACAGGGACAAGCTGAGGAAGTGAGAAATGAGCAACAGAAAATGTGTGGGAATGTAACACAGACGCAGAAACCTCCTGCTGAGGCCCAAGCTAAAACATCAAACTAGAAGGTTCTCCCCCTCCACAGTCCAAAATGAAGTTCGCCCCACCCACACTGCAGCTCGATTGGTTGACTTTGTTCTCTCTTGGGGGAGCGGTCAATCAAAGAGATAAGCCAACAGGCTTCGAAGGGACTGATGGAAGTGGACGAGATGAATAGATGAGAGAGGAACTGACCGTGAGAGGAATAGGGAGTAGCGACTAACAGAGGAGAGCAGAGGAGAGTTGTAATCAAATAAAGCATACCTCGAGATGGCCAAGAACAATTAGGTTGTTAAGAAGAAGAAAGGATTCTTTACGCAGCAAGAGGAGAATAATGATATGTGTTTCTGTCATTAAGGCCCAGCGTGATTCATTGATAACTCAGAGTAATTGAATCAAAGATAAGAGACGGAATGACCAGGAGCTTTTATGGCCTTCGCTGCGCCAAGTGACAGTTCTCATTCAGACAAGTGGAGCATCAGTCCAAAAGGAAATGTGCACCATTTGGAAAATAAACCTAAAAAAATAACTGACAGCACAAGCGCTGTTTTACTCTGACGTCCCCAAATCTTTGTTAAATGGCGGAGGAGGCTCAGGGGCTGGTGTGGGGCTACATCTGTATTACTACTTTTTAGTTTGAATAGGGCTTTTATTTAACTAAAACAATCTCTGTCCACACTAGTGTTTTGGCTCCATATCAGTTCTAATCCCCTTCCATGCAAACACACCTGAAAACACATATCACAGAAACACTTGTCACGTACACGGGACATGAGCGTGGACTCAGGAATTGTCGCAGATTGCTGGAATAATAGCTTGTCTCCATTGCATGTAAACAGTTTTCTCATTGTAAAATGCAGAATTTAACTGCACAAAAGCTATTAACAAAGACAACAGGTCAGCCACTCTTGTAATTGATCCATGTAGCATTCTACTCTGGTACCAGAGTCTAATGCCAGTTGTTTTTCCTCTGGAAAGGGGTCATGTGATAGGAGCCTGACTAATCAGAAAAAGACCTCAAGTAAAACGCTGCCCCAGAGTTTTCAAACTAAACTGGGGACAAGAGCAATTCCAGACTTCTTAATTTTAGCGCCTACCTAAACTACTGCTGTATTGTGGATGGCTGGTGTATCCTTAGTGGAGTTGATGCCTCTTAAAATGAAAACTTGGTGTATGGATGTCGCCTTGATCCCCATGGGTCAGCTAATGTTTGAAGATGACAGCTGCTGAATCGACGCCAGTGTTCAAGCTGCAAAATGAAAATGTTCCATGTCTAAAATACGGATTTAATTCCATCACATAGATTCTTGCGAGACATTTCTAATGGAGCACTTTTATGCAAATTCTAATGTACTGAATTAGAAGCTGTATGGAAAAAGCAAATGTCACTAAAATTTATTCAGTGCAGCATTTGAGAGTTTGATGTTCGCTGGAGGCAGAAAGGCTGTTGGACAGTGTGAAAAATGTTCTGGACTTGCTGCTATGAAAAGCAATAATTTGCCAAATCCATTCGCGAAATGGTTTTCACTTTTCTTATTTTCATTTTAATCATTTTATATGAAGCCAATTTATTTGCTTCAACTTGCCAAACCCAGTAATTTTTATTCATGTGGCAGTTTCAAAATTAGCCTCACATTTGTTTAAAGAAATGTCCTTACAGTCTCTTCCTTTTCTTTTCTTCTCTCTCGTTCCTTCTCAGAGTCGTCAAATGCATCTTTGTTGACCAATGCAGAGAAGATTGCCACCATAACCACCACTCACACACCTCAGCAACAGGCCGCCCCGGAGGCCAGGTAAGGAGCATGCTGGGAAACGAATGCTTGGGGCATTGTAATTTAAATAAGAAGAGTTTTTAAAGGAGACCTTTTATGTTATTCTATATTTTCTGTCATATAAGTAATGTTGTAGGTTTGCTATACAGTTGTTTGAGGACAGCATAATACCATTTTACCACCAATGTTAGCTTTAGTATTTTGGGACAGTAGATTCATCTCCACTTTAAGATATAAATGTCACAATTATTGATTAAAATGTCTAAATACCACTGTGAATATTTAGGTGACTTGTGTAGCCTACTCACATTATCAAAAATGTGTGCAACAATATTCAAACTCAGAGAAAAACCCCTGTTTCAGACCTAGTTATGTCAGGTAGATTTTAAATCCCGATGGTGGTGAAATCAACAACTCCCATGAATCCACGCTGCTTTGTGGCATCATCAAACTAAGTATTTTGTTAGATTGAGAGACCACTAGTGGCCTAAGTGACATATTGGATGTTTATAGCAACATTTTAGCCCATTTTCATCAAACACAACTATTTAAGGAGCAGATATAGACAAATGTTTTATATGGGTTGTGTTTGAAAGACTGAATCTACTGTTATGTCTCACAATAAGCAGGTTTTCATTGAAACATTTTTGACAAAATTATTGACGGATTTGGATTTGAAAAATTGTCCCTTCCAGTCCCTTATGTTCCGTTGCTTAGTTTTAGTTAATACTAAGCATAAGAGAATAAGCCAATGCTCAAAATATCTTGTGTTCTGCCCGTTTGTAGGCGTCAGCATGCATTAGAACCGAGGGTGGTTTAAAGGAGGCTTCAACTGAGGGGCTGCATAACAGGCAGTTTGAGATACATAAGGCCTTTTTTTGAGAAGTCTATCATATAAAACTGCTCTAGTGGTGTCCCAGAATAAAATATATGGCTGGACATAAGCAAAATGTTGAAAATATGCAGTTAATTGATCATTGTTTGCTTTAAATGTTTTACTAACTGCTGTCTCTCTGTCTCAGGAACAACACCAAACCAAAACAAGAATCGTTTGAATTCAAACCCCCACAAGGACCTCCTCCCCAGCCCCCGACACAAGTCTCATCTCAGGTAAGAAGGACATTATGGTTATCCATTCCCCTGTCAATCCATTCATACATCCCTCCACCCAACACCCTGGTAATCTACACTCCAGCAGTCCATCCACATCCACACTCGCCTTTTTACTCATCCATTCAGCTGTTGTAGCCCCCACAGACTTATTTATCCTCCATGCGTCAACCAATCCACCCACCCGTCTTCCCAAGGACAAACAAGGTGCCTTCTCATTTATTTATTTTCCTTTTTATGTCTTTTTGGCCACATTATCGGGGGCTGCGCTGAGGACAGCCTGTTTGCTTTCAAAGTAACCCCTCAGTCCACGGTGTTCGCTGCTGAATTAATCTGGCGGTGTAGAGATGTTTCTCACTGATAGCATTGATTCTTCAGCAGAGGAGATTAGAAGGGCATGAAGATGGGAACTGCTATGGCCATCTGCATGTCCTTGTGCTGCCCGGCTCCCTCTCCCTCTCTCTCCCTGTCTCCCTCGCTCTGCCTGTGCCCCCTCTCTTTGTCCACCTACAGCCCGAGGCATCAATAATTCAGCATCCTTACACCTGAGCAGAAGCATGCACTCTCACAAACACACACACACATACATACCCATACACACACCTTACATACCCATACACAAACACATATACACACACACACACACACACACACACACACAGCTATAGAAAAAGTCTGAGTTCCCTGAAGATGACATTTGTCCCATGTTTCTGAAATAGGAGTCCACTTCAAAGGACACACACACACACACACACATACAAATCTGAATCACAAAAGTGACCTTGATGCAAATTCTCCCTTCCTGTCTTTCTGTGTGTGTATGTGTGGTCCATCTCCATCAGGACACTGAGTTCTACTCAGTGGACCTGGATCGAGACAACAAAGGCTTTGGCTTCAGTCTGCGCGGAGGCAGAGAATACAACATGGACCTGTACGTGCTGAGGCTAGCTGAGGACGGAGCGGCCGTACGCAACGGAAAGATGAGGGTACGGACACAAACAGCATCCAGCATTCACACACCACAAATCTATACTGTTTACTATTGCATTGAATTATAAAATATTTGTTGCATCTTGAAAATGAGTGCTTGATCTGAATGGGAATTGATTAAGTTTATAATGGTGAGGCCAACAGTTATTCTGTGACTGGAGTCCATAAATGAATTACATCATAGTTATATTAAGCTTATTTCTGTGGATTCCCAAAACACATGATAAGTAATAATGGATAGATCCAGATCACCTGTTTTACTTTATTCTTCTATATTAGTGTTTTGATTAACTTTATATCCCACCTTGAAACTTGAAGTTAGGATCAGTTATCGGTTTCTGAAACATTTGTTATCTTATTTGTTGAAATCCTCTCCACGTCCCAATAGCCATCAATACATAAAGTCATCTGAAAAAAACTGAGGGCTGGATGATGTTGCCTCATACACTTAATAGCCTTCAGAATAATATTATCTACCAATATAATAACGTGTTCCTCCCAATTACTGCAAGCTATGCTTCAGTGAATATGGTAGCCTACAACATGCAGTATGCCCACTGACAGAATATGCCCATGTAGTGGCGTTCATACATGCCGCAGAAGTTGCCATGAAACTGTGATATTTAACCTTTATTTTTTTGATTGATTGTATAAACCATGTAGCCCTTCTCCCAGGCTGCTTGATTGAAAATGCAGCACAGGGTTAATGGATTCTCCCCTGTGTGTTTACATATGCATGGAGAGAGCAGTATTTACAGTATGTTTGAGCTATAAGGTGTTTTTTTTACATACATTAATGTGCTACAGTTAGGACATGTGTGGGTGTGCATGTATTAGCACTTTCTGTACATGCATACATTTGTGTAAGTGCACCTTATTAGCAGAGATATTAATAGTAGCTGCTCTGTGAGGCAGAGAGCGGTGTCACAGAGAGATCCATACTCTGCCAGAGGAATTCCCTCGGTGCAGACAACGCTGACAGATAACTTGAGGCGTGGAGGCAAAGAATTAGGAAGCAAAAAGTCTTGTTTTTTTTCTTTCTGGCTCCTTTTTTTCTCCCTTTTTCTCATTTTCCTCTCTCGTTGTCACAGTTGCTGCGCTCCAATGTAATTTGCCCTTTCTGAAGACTGTTAATTTAAAATGTTGCTGTTGTTGCACTTTATCTTTCTGATGATTGGATATGTAACGTCTTCTCATTCTGTCCTCTTTCTCCTTCCCCTCCTCTGTCATCGTGTCCCTTTGAACCTCATCTTTCCTGTGGTATACTCTCTTCCCCACTGTCACTTGTTCTCTGAATTCGGTCTCCCTCTGCTCTCTCTCCCTTCTGCACCTTCACCCAACACTCTCCCTCCTGCCTTTTCCTCCCCTACTCCTATTTCTCCATAGGTTGGTGATGAGATCTTGGAGATCAACGGCGAGAGCACAAAGGGCATGAAGCACGCACGAGCCATCGAGCTCATCAAGAGCGGAGGCCGGCGCGTCCATCTGGTGCTCAAGAGGGGTGACGGCTCTGTGCCGGAATATGGTGGGTCAATCTACGAAAACATTCCCTTCTCCCCCATCTTCACACCCTGAGCCAGGGGGGACGCCCTGTGGACAGTGGTGGGTCGAAGGGGAAAGAGGGGGAAGAACTTTATTGCCCTCCCAGGACCCTCCACTCATCCCTGGGACAAACCCACCAGGGAGGGTTAGATGGGCTTTGGTTGGTCGTGGTTCTCTTTCTGGTGGAGGTCAATCCTGGGCTTTGGGATTTTTCGGGGGGTGAAGGCGGAGCAGGGGGTGGAGGGTGTTCCCGTGGGTGCTGTCCCCCTGCCCTGCTCTCACCTGCTCTCAGTTTCTGTGTCTTCCCGCTGTCACTTCCTCACCTTCTGGCCACTGAGCAAACGCACTCCACTGGGACTTCACAGGAAGGTGGTGGGTCTGATTTCAGTGCTTCATGAAAATAGAAACTGTTTACAGAGTTTGAATGACAGAGTATTGAAAAAAAATCAATGTATCTTGTGGGTAAGAAGTGATATTGATGGCCTCTGATTCCTCTTTAAACACTAGTTTAGCGTTGAGAGGAAGAGAAAGTTGCATCCCGTGATAAAATGGGATATCTCGCAGCTCTGGTTAGGACATATTTATAATATTTATTGAAGGTGAATGTAAGCTACTGAACTCGTTTGGGGTTTTAAGTGACCTGTATTGAGGAGAACAAAAGGCAGTTTGATGCTCTTTTTTTACCATTTTAAAGACAAAACTCTCACGATACTGTGCTTGACATTACTCACTAATCCATGGATTTTATTTGCACCCACTGTAAATGTCATTGAAAAGCTGTGACGATAGGAACTCCACCCATCCCTGTTGAAAAAAGAAAAAGAGCCACTCCAGTTATAAAGACATTTTGTACAGTGATGAAAAGAATAGATGCGTTTTTACAAGTATTTTTGTTCCGTGTACAGAGCCATGAATCCAAGCCACATATTAATGGATAAAAGTCTATTGCTGCATGAACTTGTCAAAAGTGTAAATTGGATTGTTTTTCCTTCTAATGTCTATTTTCCATAATATTTATGGAAGTTTTTTTTTATCGTATTGACCAGTTTTGATTGATAGTAACAAGTCATCATACCTGGGTTTTTTTTTACTTTGAGTGGAGATACTTTTACTTGTCTTGAAAAGTTCATCAGTGTTATTTTTTTTGGGCTAAGAATGTGCCATCTGTACCTGCACCAATACTAGGGCTGTCCCGAATACCTCTGTAGAACTTTCACGTTTCAGTAATGTGATTTTCATTATATCCATGAATTATTCCCTGGAAACTCTGAAAATTGAAAAAAGTCCCATTTCCCAATGTTAAAGTTAAAGTAAAAAGTTCCTGGATCTGACCACTGATTGGATTTACACCAAAATGTTTACTTCCTGACCTGTTCCACATCCTTCCACCAAGTTTCGTATAAATCAGTTTCATCGTTTTTCCGTAATCAAACAAGCAATCCAACCAACAACATGTGAAAACTTAACCTCCTTGGTGGAGGTAATTATTGGCAAATATTTCAAGCCACAGTTTAACTTTAGCAACATCTAAGCTGCTTCTTAATGTTACCAAAATCGTAGGTTTGCCAGTTTTATATCCAACACGCTTGACTTGCCTGGGCCCGAAACTTGTCACTGTCCAAGTAACATTAGACTCACTGTTAAGATTAAAAATGTCCTTGAAAAACTGAGAATAACTAATAATGTTATTATTGTTTATTGTAATTTTGGGCTAGATTAGCAGCATTTGACTTACATTTGATTTCAATGGCCACCACCGAAGCTTTGAGGAGTTCAGGACAGCCCTATCTGATACGACATCATGTAAAGTTGTATATTTTTGGGTCATTGTTTGTACTTTTTAGTTGGAACAACCTTTTGACAGTCTGCCAGTATTTTCTTTTTATTATTTCTGTCAGCAATGTAAACTGCTTCATATACTGTTGTTTTGAATGTGCAAGTCTCACTGTCTTTACTTTCTGTTTTTGGGTTTCTGCTGCTTCTGTGTTCACATCTCTAGGTGTGTGTGGGTGCGTGCGTGTGTGCGTGCGTGCGTGTGTGTGCACATGCAGGACTTTTCTCTGTAACTGGTGTTTTCCACTGAAGGGTTTGGGGTATTTCCTGGACTGTCTCTTTATTCTCAGTGACTCAATGATCAAATAAACACATTTTTTTTCATTGAAAAAATCAACACAATAATTCTCCTTTTCTTCCTTTATGTCGGTTTCAGGGGATCTAAACTACTGTGTTCTTCTCTTTTCTTCTGTTTCTGTGTATCTTCTCCCTCTTCCCCCGTATTGCACTGGGCTCTTGTCTTCCTTCAGGGATGGTCGCTCCCCATCTCACTGCATGTATGAGAAATGACAAGATGGGGGAGGCCTCTGTCCTCCAAAATCAGACCACGGTTTGTAACTGTCCCTCGCTGTCGTCTGGCTTCTTCCTGTCGTTCTCTCTCTCTCTCTCTCGATCTCTTTCTCCCTCCATCCTGATGTGTGTGGTGTGGCCTCAGATCACCTGTGCCCGTGCTCTACTCCATGCATACAAATTCATTCACCCAAAATGCACTGCCAGTGTCGCCGCTGCCGTAGCCGTTGTGATGGATTCTTCATGCATACTGTATGTCTGCGCCATTTGCATTTGACCTCTGGCCAACGAGTCCATAGGTGAAATGCACAGCGCTCGTTTGTTCTTGTTAACTGGTTTAGATACAGTGTCTTTGCTTCTTTAGACAGTTTTTCACTGTGGTCGTTGCTCTGCAGTTTCTAGACCTTCCTTAAGATATAGACACAGAGCTTAGGTAAGGTTGCATCTTAAATCTGATAATAAAAATGTGGTGGCTGCTTATATAGATGATTTAGTGAAACCAGAGAGATAAAATCCACTGAGCAAAGCTATTAAGACTAACTACAGTAAAATGTCTACTAAACCTATAAGGCATTAGTCTTTGGATCTCATCGTGAGCATTATATTTTCTTGAAACATTTACGATTCGTCGAAGGCATCATGAAAGTGCATGAAAGAGCATGGCTAATCAGTACGATCAAACAACATGCAGCACGTTGGCACTGACTGTAACCAGCCTCCAGTTAAGTCGCCGGACTGGCCAAGTCCCATTGAGGTGACCCAAGGTTGCCCTGGTAACAGGTTTGTTGTGGGTAACATGGGTCCTCAAGCGATGGCTGCTTCACAACTGTGACACTGCCTTTTATTCTCATGTGTAGCTACACTCATGTTGTATCATTGGCTGTCGCTGTGCCATCTAACAACTTGCCATCTTTGCTGGCATTAACATCAGAATGGCTTTCTATTGAAAATGTGCTCAGCTTCATATCTGAGTGATACAGCATGGTCACTGAGAGTCTACCTGTTTGTTTCATCCTCCTACCTTGGTTTGTATGTCACACTGTGTTGCAGACGGCAGCCCTAACAACAGCATCACAGCCAACGCAGCCGCAGGGTTACAAAACGCTGCGGAAGTGAACACCCTACCCCCAACCAACGCACCATCGGAGTTAAGTTACCCACCAGAACCCCAACAACCATCCCGGAGCAAGAAGGAGTCGGGTCACAAGTCTACCCGCACCGGCAAGCAGCACCATTCCAAGCACCGCCACAGCTCCCCTCACAAGAAAACCAGCACGGGAAAACACAAGGAGAAAAAGTCTACTGTCAAGCTGTTTAAGAAGAAGGATGGCAAGGGGAGTGACAACCACCACCACCACCATTCCAGCGGGCACCACCGTAGTCGCCACCGTTCGCCCGACAGGAGGCATGGCAGGTCTCGTAGCGCAGACAACACCCTTGATAGCCATCAGAAGGGTCGCTCACCTGACAGACACCATGGCCACCACCGCCACCGCTCTCCCTATCGTTCTCCTTATCGCTCGCCTCGCCGCCACAGGTCTCCCCACAGGTCTCCCCACAGGTCTCCCCACAGGTCTCCCCACCGCTCTCGGCACCACTCCCCCACAAGACGCCACGCCCACTCCTCAGACCCCTACCGCCGGTACGCCTCCCCAGAGAGACCGAGCCACAGCAATGAAAAGCCCAACAGTGCTGTGGCCGTATTGAAGGAGCCATCTAAGGCTCCTGAACTCAGCCTCCCTTTTGAGGACAGCATCCTCCGAGAGCCCCCGGCTCTGGACCGCCTGAACCGAGAGGCCACGGTTCCATCATTGCACAGGGAGGATCACCTGTACGGCGAGGATAGCCTGCTGTTGAGAGCCTCCTCCATGGACAGAGCCTACAAGGGGGACAGCCTGCTGAGGGACATGGCGTCTCGGGGCCAGAGAGACGCCACCTTACCCAGAGTGCGCACCCCTGACTCAGATTCAGCCTACAAGAGGTACAGCTCACTGCTGAGGGGGCGCTCACCTGAGAGGACTGAGAGGGACGGGCGCTACGCCAGCAGAGATAGTACTCCAGAGAGCGAATACGGAGCCCGAAGCCTGGGACGTGACATCTCCCCGATCAGGAGTCCCAGGAGAGACGACTCGGAAGATGAAGAGGATGATGACAATTTCGTAGCGGCTAAGGTGAGAGAGTACTACAGCACGCTCAAGACCGACACCAGTCAGTCGTCCAGGCCCTCGCTCCCTGAGCCCAAGAAGACCTACAAGGACAACCCCAAAGACCTGAGTATCTGATTGGATGACTGTCAGCCAATCAAAGCAAGCAACCCACAATACACCTCAAGTACTAGCTCATATTACCACTTGGTTCTACAGAAATGCACCCAGCTATGTATACACACAAACGTACATTAACACAGCTGCACACACACATTATGTAACAGCGTTGAGTTACGAACAAGACAGTGATTCCAAAATGATTTTTTTTGAAAGCTGTTTATTTTTCTTTTCTTCGATTGTATGTTTTATTTTTTTTCTCCCTTGTTTTTGTTGAAGCATTCTACATTTACAGTAACTCAGACTTTTCCAGAAAATGTAAAACCATAAAAAACAATGATGTGCCTAACAGTTCCATTAACGAGCAACCTTTTTTTTTCCAATTTTAATTATTTGATATGTGGCAGGCGCTTTGTGACGCGCTGTCAGGTGAAGACATGTATGTACTTTTCCACATGGATCCCATGGAAGAACCGTGCACCTGGATGACTGTAACTGGTGCTCACAATGATGCTGTGCATGTCTCTACCGGTTTCAATGTCTCTTTCTCTCTATTCTCTCTCTCTCTCTCTCTCTCTCTCTTCTCTCTCTCTCTCTCTCTCTCTCTCTCTCTCTCTCTCTCTCTCTCTCTCTCTCTCCTGCCTTCATTCTCTCTCTTTCTCTTTCCCCAGTGCCACTGTTTTTTAGACATTTGACCAGACTATAGCACAAGCCTGCATTTGTTTGTATATTTTTGACAGTTTGCAGTATGTGTACATTCAGAGGTGATCATTTTAAATGAATGAAGGGGAAATCAAAAGTTAACTATGATGATGATGTTAAAATAAAATAATATATTCAACAAATTAACGCATGTGTGATTGTTTTGGCTCAATCTCTCTATGTCATCCCATCCTGTAGAACCTAAGTATTACAATATTGATTGAAAATCACTTGAAGTTTGTAACAGTTTTAAAAAGTGTGATATTCAAAGGTGGCAGCAGAAAGTATAACCTAAGAGAGTTGTCATCTTTTGGTAAAACAAAACACATAAAAAGTGTAATCTCAGGCCTCCAAAAACTACATTAACTGTGTGTTCTTCTTCGAGGCTTTGAAGAAAAGCAAAGAGCGTCCATCTTTTTTTCACAACATCAAAGCCAGTCTTAAAATGTGCCTCCACTCCTCTCACGTCTTACTTTGATTTGTGCTTCATCTGTGCCCTCTCTCTGCTGACACGCCTTCTCCTCCCCAATTTTAGTCCTCTTACTGGATCCTCGCTGCGCAGAGGTTTTTCATTTGACAGAGAACAGGCAGTGAGGGAAGCTGTGTCCATATTTCAGGACGGTGACGGCGATAGGTGGAGGATTTTGACCCCACCCCCTACAAATGAAAATTTAGTGGACGGCAGAGAACAGAGTGGTCACCCCTGGTGACCTGTGAATGCCAGCAGGGATTTACTACTGCAGGAAAATGTTCAGTCAGGGATTTGCTCAATCAAGATGTTGAACAGAAAGACCAGAAAGTGAGATGCTGATAAATCACTGGATCATTGCATTTTTATTTTCAATGTCTAACATGCAGCAAACTGAAGATTTTCACAGCTTACATCATGTGAAGTTCCTCCCAGTTTGCTGCGGCACATGCCAAGGTACTTAATAGCATATGTTCAAACGTGTGCATTCAAGATTACCCTGTGGACACAATCTGTGCAGCTCGTAAGAGGAAATAAGAAGCCGAGATGAAGCATCGCGATCAAACAGTAACATATCAGAGCTTTTTTTCCCTTTTCTGGCCCACTTTCTCCACAATTCAAAAGAGCCTCAACGCATCGCTGTGCTTTTGATGCAATGATCTGAAAATGTTTTTACATGAATACGGCTTCACATGCTTTTGCACTTGCACAGAGATAGTATCGTAAATCCTCTAACAACACATACATATACCCCACAATACCTGATACTTGTACGTAATTCAAATTGTTTTTGCTATAGTTGGGTCCTATCCACTGCAGTCTGCAAGGAGACAAAGAGGAGATGTTTACATCCTGCAAACCCCCCTCTTTTCTCTCTCCTCTCTTGGAGAAGGGGAAGCAGCACCTAAATAATGGATGTAATCCACTTTCCAACACCGAACCCACTCTCCTCCCCTCTTTTGAAACCTCTCTTGCTCTTTATCAGGACATACTCCTTCTCCTTATTCCTGTCATCAAATGCAGGAACAGAGCTCTATGTTTTATTTCTTGTGCGAACCCTAAAATGATTAACAGCCCATGTCTGCTGACAATTTATCATTTCAGTGTCAGTGCAGGGAGAGGCGGTAATGAAATGTCCAATAACAACAACACTACGGCGCCCACCACATCAAGCCTCCATTTACCCATCAGCTCGGCCCCGGGTTCCCTCGTATGCGACCTTGGAGCCCTCTTGCTTCTGCGTTTCCATGGAAACACCAATGCAACGAGCTCCATCCTTGAGCTGACTGGAGCAGACAGGAGTTGTAGATGCGTAAACAAGGCAATGGGAGAAAAGCAAATGAAAAGAAGTTATTTCTGGCAGTGTGCTCAGGATTTCAAGATGCTTTCACTCAAGAGAGCAAAAATATGTTCATGTCACTGTTCTCAGAGGAAGCTCATCATCCTACAAACTAACTCTGCTCTTTGTACTCATACTGTAACTGTCTCACGCTCGACTGTGCGTTGAAATCAGCCTTCCCGTAAAGGGAGGTACCACACCTCACGTTGGTTCAAAGGGCTAATGTGTTTTTCTTGTAGTGGAAATAATAGCATGGATCAATAGGATGTGGTGTATGTGCATGTAAAACTTGGGGCTATTTTACTGGATGGTCACACTTATCAATCAGCAGCTGTTAGAGAGAAATCCACTGGCACCATGTCTCATCAGCTCAGTCAGTGGATGTTCAATTTTAAATGCTGCCTTTCCTTCCTTCTTTTTGAAGCATCCAGATTTTTAGTGAAGTCCCTGTGGTGATTTGATAATGTCAGCAAATCTCTGAGAAATCCCAACAGAACGTGTTATATCTGCCCTTAACAGCTGCTAGTTTTAAACCTGATTCCAGTTCCCTTCCTTAAAGAAGTGACAGACTATAATACTAATACTCTTATTCAAGTACTTTCACCAATCAGCCACTACATTAAAACATGTGGGCTAACTGGTTTTAATCGTGTGGTAGATCAGTGTTTTGTTGAATTAGTACAACCATGAAGCCATGGAGAATCATTAAAAACTACAAAATGAGGTTAAAATCACACTACTGATGGTTCAGATTAAACTCAGTATACATGTTGCTGATCAGGATACATTTATGTTTGTTTACACCTTGTTGGTGTAATTAAAAGATGGCCACTTTCTATATCGCTGCTTGAGTTTCAGGGTTCTGAGTTAAGTGCATGCTGGCTCACTGTTATGGATTATTTGAAACAGTTACATGGCAAATATATTTGCAAAAAGTAGCTTTCCTCAGCTGCAGAGAATAATAAAGTGTATGAAAAGATGGACAGCATGACACCTCTCTGGTGAAGTGAAGCCAAATCATCTTGATCCCCCCTGGTGGCTGGTGGCTGTATATGTCATAAACCCTGCCTCCTCTATGTTAATTGATTGTACATGGACCAAACTAAACGTCAAAATACACATTAAAAGAGTAAAATCATGGCACTTGTGTTCAGGATATTTTAGCCTAAGGGTTGGAACCCTTCTAACAATAAAAACCTGCCTCTAGAACTCCCCCAATAATCTTTGTAGATGTAATCTACAGACATAATCTTTATGAAAAATTCATAAAAATAAAAATAAATAACAAACATGGGACTTTGTGACCATGCCATTTGACTTGACTCTGAGAAGCTGGAGACACTGAGATAATTTCTAACATGAATATGTGTACGTATAGCCAGCGATGCTATAATTCATTTTAACATATTTATCAGGGATGATTACTGTGTTCACCATCTTAGTTAAGTGTGTTAGCAGCATGCTAATTTGCTAATTATCTGCTGTGCTTCTTCCTCAGACAAGTCTCAAGTGTCATCTGTCAAAAAATCCAAAAGTAGAAGTGATCAACAGATGATGCAAGACTCAAGTTTGATCATAAATTTGAACTCATGCATTTGTCAGAATCAAGTCACATTTAGTGGCAGGCTGACAGCGAAGTGATCAAAAGAAAACACAAGTTGTTCCAGAAGTTCCAGAGGTGGTTTCCTGCGGAGAGGTTTTGTGTCCTTACGGTGGAGACACTCCTTTAGAGAAACACACTGAACTTTTGCCTGTCCCGGGGGTGTCGCCCCTGGCCCTCCTCCTCTGCTGAAATGCGTGCCTGCATGAGTCTAAAAAGCAGCAAAGCCCCCACTTGTGGTGTGTACTGAGCAGACTCCAGGGTTTTCTTGCCATCAATGTCAAGACGAAATCCTGCTTCATGCAAACCATGCTTTTGATCAAAGGGCAAAATTGTACACCTCAAAATAATGCAGTTTCCAGAGTGACTCATCCACTCTAAAAAAAAAGAAATGTCCTTGTGTCGGACTTATGAGATTAAATAGTTATACTGTCATAAGAAATGCATGTGGAAACGTCCGCTTTGCCTGTTGCACTGTTGAATGATTCATTTCAAATTTTGTGTGTGGCTGTTGGGCCATGGTTATTATAAGAAGATACTACCCAGGTCGTCTGAGGAGGTTTTCCATTTAAATCTTTCTTTGCGATGATTGTGGCTGAGAAATGTTAACACATACAATTGTGGCACTCTGCGGAGGCTGTGACAGAAAGTTTGAATGTACAAAGGTGAAATCGGCAAGAAAAATATAGATCACACTCATGTCACCGCAGGATCACTCCCTATAGGAATGTAAAGACCCTTTTGGAAGTAGTCAAAAAACCCATCAACATCTGTCTTTTGTCTCTGTTGTGAATGGATTCAATGGCGTTCTCTCCCAGGTCGACTGACTCTGCAGGAGACAGGTTTTCATGGGATCTGATCAGCTCAGTGATGTAACAGTCAAGTGAACACGTTAGTTTCTTCTTCTATATTTCAGAAGCCAATGCTACACTTTTTCTGCACAACGTTATGACGCACATTAAACTTCTGTGCGTTGGTGCGTAAATAGCCACAAGCTTTTACTCTTTTTTTAAATCTTGGGAACAACAAAAAATGTTTCTTTGTATTCTGCAAAATGCAACAGTGATGTGCGTGAGCTCTCCAGAGAAAAAGAACAGAAAGGAAATCTCCTCTACTGGCAGTGGGAAAGGAGTCAATCGACCTTTTAAGTGGGTTTAAAAACCCTGCGATAACCTGCCAAGACCAACTGCTGAGAGGTGAGGTAGAGGAGCTGAATGCAAGGTGAGGGCACCCAGGGTAAGAGGAGGGTGATCTCACTAGGACGTTGCATTCATTACGCCCACAAACAAAGCCCCTGTGCATTGCGGTGATAGTTGTGTTGAAGAAGGGGATGATTAGCAGTGGACACGATCATCAGAGCATAATTAAGGTGGAGATATAAAGATGGAGGAAATGAATGGAGAGAGGACAGAAAGGGTCTGAATCAAGAAGTTTTGCTGTTGCTTGTAAGAGCAGGATGGAAAAATGGATATAAAGGTCAGCTGCTTCCTATAAAGACATGATCAGTGATGGCTGTAGTGTGTCCTCCGTTGTAATCCACACTGTGTGTCTGTGTTGTCGTCAAACTCCAGAGAGGAATTGGGTTACGTGTTCAGCACAGGTCCACAGATAAACACGTCTCAAAGCTCAGCCCTCCTCTCAGCATCATTTCTTTTTTTAGATTTGACAATATCAGGTTAAATATTGATGCTGTGAAGTTGCTTCAAGGGAGTGGAGGTGGGAGGGA